AGCTGTATTATGATAGCCACGAAATTCAAACAATCATAAAGTGATGATCAACTGCACGCTCTATTGTTTGGCAGTAAACAACAAAGTTTGTGGCTATGTCAGTTCTAATGTCTGTTGCCATCGAGAAACGAGAGTTTGAAATCAGTCAAATCGTACAAAGTACATTATAAAGTGAAAACTGACGAAAATTTAATCCACGGTCTTCCATATTTTACAACAGAACGATGGCAAAAGTAGCTTTCACTAGTTGTCTTATTTCTCCTCAGAGCAAAGTCAGTCTGTCTATGACAGGAACTAGCGTGGAATGTAAATTTTATTAATCAGCCAACACAGAGTTAAGTAGTAAACTGGTCTGGTTTTCAAGCCCAATAAGCTTCAAAAGAGCAAACAAAGATGCTAACATTTATATTGGAAGGTTCAGGACTGGGCACGAGCTTTCGATTTGCGATCATACACAGTGCATTAGTTACATAACCATAACGTTTCTGTGGCTAATCTATAAGACAGAACTGAGTTAACAGCAATTGTGTGTTATGCACGGTTAAGCCAAAGAGCGAACAACAACAGACAACAAAGAACTTTGTCTAGCTTGAAAACTATTATATCGATAATTACCCATAGTGAAAAGCCCAATATGCTTTGAAAACTATTGGACTTTACCGTCATGCATTATTTAACAAAGAATGGGAATAAAAAAATTGTAACTTACTTTCGAAATCTAGCATTTGATTTATATGCACAACATTTGAAACCCTCTGTTTTAATTTAATTTGTGTTGACTTCCCATCGAACCTCCTACTGTTTTGTAGACAAACTGCTTCAGTGTATTTTTAGTCTCTACCTCTTGTGGTTTCACTTTCATCAGAAAACTGAACACGGTAACTTTATAATCTATAAGCTGTGTGTGAGTTATAGTGTAAATGTACATTTAGCGTGATCTAGTTTACACTGGAAGAGACTTGCATGAATCGCGTGACTGATTTTCTTCCTGCTGTAAGCTTTAACAATGAGTCACGCGAAAANGGAAGAGACGTAACCAATAGCGTGACTGATTTTCTTCCTGCTGTAAGCGTCAAAAGTGAGTCACGCGAAAAATTAAGTCACACAAATGATTGTTTGGAATCACCGTTTTTTAGTAGTAACTAGTAACAATTTGTTTACCTTTCCGTTTTTGCTTACTTTTTAGGGGAAAAGGTACTGTTATTGACGCGTATCGGTTTTGGTTTCACTCTGGTGACTCACCAAAGCTAGTGAGTATAAAAAATAATTTTACCTTAGTTACAATATATTCATAGCAGACTGAAATAATGATGTAAACTGTTCACAGTCAATTTCCTTTTTCAATGCAAAGCCAGAACCTGAGAGAACTTGTGACCGCAATGTCGAAGCTAACCACTCACTACTGACGTCATGTATTTAAAGGCTAATCAAAACCAGTTATAAGTAGCGACGTCGGTGTGACCGAAACACTATTGGCAAGCTGTTTAAAAATATTCTTTCTCTTTAACTCATTAGTGTTTCCGAGCACTCACAAGAGGTAAATTAATTCCTCCAATCACTTTGTAACCGAGATTTGCAGCTTTTCATCCCGCATTCCGTCCCTAAATTTTAAATTCATCCCGCACTTCCTGGTTGAAACGAGCAAATGCTGCTCAGACCAAGATATCTTTAGTATCCCGAATCCTGCACCCCGGATTCCACATCCCGCTGGATTTTCAGTTCATCTCGCATCCCGCCAAGCTTATGTTTTGACACTCCAGAAACTTCGAAATACATCTTCCATGCTTGACGTACTATGATAATCAGTGTCTGATAATCAGAATCTCATCGAGAACCCCTCAAGCGGTTTTCGTAGTTTCACTTTCCAAAGCATGTTCCACCGTGGTAAGTACAGCTCAAGCTAACTTTGTATCGTCTGGTTT